TCTCTCTTCTCCTTCTGGCACCCCCATGATGCAAATGTTGGTACACTTGAAGTTGTCCCAGAGGCTCCTTACACTGTCCTCAATTTTTTGTTGTTGTTGTTGTTTCTTTTTTCTTTTTGCTGTTCTGATTGGGTGATTTTTCTTCCTTATATTCCAAATTGATGGTTTGCTTTTTGGCTTTACCTACTCTACTATTGAATCTGTGTAAATTATTCTTTATTTCAGTTAGTGCCTCCTTCATTTCTGACTGGTCCTTTTTTATGTTCTTTAGGCCCTTACTAAGTTCATTGAGCATCCTTATAACCAGTGTTTTGAACTCTGCATCTGTTAGATTGCTTATCTCCATTTCGCTTAGTTCTTTTTCAGGAGTTTTGTTCTGTTCTTTTATTTAGGACATGTTTCTTTGTCTCCTCATTTTGGCTGCCCCCTTGTGTTTTTTCCTGTGTATTAAGTAGAGCTGCTATGTCTCCTAGGCTTGGTAGGGTGGCTGTTGTAGTAGGGTCCTATAGGGACCAGTGATACAGCCTTCCTGATCACCCTAGCTGGGTCCTTGAGGTGTACCCCTCATGTGGACTGTACACCCTTCTGTTGTAATTGAGTCTTGATTGCTGTTGACACATCAGTGGAGGGATTTACTCAAGCTGGTTAGCTGCAAGGACTGGCTGTGCTCACTGACCACTGGACTTTGACTACCTTGGATGATCATCTGTGCAGGGCCCACCACACAGGGAAAGACTTACTTCAGCCGGTACCGAGTTCACTCCTTGAGTGTGTCACTTGTAGAGGTGGTTGGGTAATAGTGTTTTGATATGGTCTGAAGCTGTCCACTGGGTGTGCTGGCTCTGCAGCAAGGTTGGCCACTGCCTGTGTTCTACCCTGGGGCCACCAGGCATAAGCTGGGATCTGCAGATGGCTGCTTCTTGTGCTGGGCTTGGAGGTGCCCAGACAAAGCCAAACTGTGAACTAAGGCTGGCTGCCCCTAGTGCAGGGCCCAGGGCCACTTAGTGAGAGGTATGGGGCTTGCTAAGGCCAGATGCTGCTTGTCTGAGAGAATTTTGGAAAATCCGATACAGGAGCCAAGACAGGTCATTCCTATGGAAAAGCCACTGGAAACAGCTTTGGTGGGCCTGAAAGTTGGGTGGGGCAGGGCCTCAAGGAATCACCAGGGTGAGGCAAACTGTGTTAGTCAGGTTGCTGGAGTCCCAGATATGGTGCCTCTCTGCCTGCCCTGTAGGGGAAGTGCTCCCCAAAGGAACAACAGCCCCTGTCAGCACGTGTGTCTGGGAGAAAGCTGCCTCTCCAGCTCTCACCCCAATATCAAACCACTCAGTTCTTCCCTGTATTTCTCTGGTGCCTTTCAATCTGCCTCCCCCATGCAGCTCGGAAGGTACAAGTCTGAGTAAGTCCATATGAGGGCTCTTTATGAGAAACTGCCTGGGACTCCCTCAGCCTCAGCCTCCCTCAGCCTCAGTTCCCACTGGTTTTACAGCCAGAAGTCATGGGGACTTCTCTTCCTGGCACAGGAACCCTGTGCTGGGAGCCTGGTGTGGGACGAGAACCCCTCACTCCTCAGGGAGGACCTTCATAGCTGAAGTACCTCTCCTGATTTTTTATCCTCCACACATGGGTGTGGGACCAGCCCATCTGCACCTCCGCCCCTCCTACCAGTCTCAATGTGGCTGCTTCTCTAATTTTGTAGTTGTAGGACTTCCATTTAGCTTGATTTCAGGTGGTTCTGAGTGATGGTTGTTTTGTAATTTAGTTGTCATTTTGATGTGTTTATAGGAGGAGGCGATATACCTCCTTGACCTACGCCGCCAACTTGACCGGAAGTCTATTGTTTTTTGTTTTTAATTTTTTAAATCTTTATTGTTGAGAGTATTTCAGATGTCCCCCCCCCCTTCATTAACTCCTCCTCCTCTCTGCCACCTACCTCCTGTCTTCTCCATATTATTGTCTGTGTCAATTGGTTATGCATATATGCAAATAAGTTCTTTGGTTTATCTCTTCCACCCCACTCCCCATCCAGGGGAGGGTCTCAGTAGAATATGCATCAGCTTTCCCAGTCTGTGTCCTCAGGGTCCTGGTCTGCACTGACTGGTAGGCTCCAGGGGGTCATTAGTCAATATAGCTGGTCCTGATGTCAGCCATGGCCTTACTCCACCTGGTTTTGCTGCTTTTCTGGGCCTGGAGCTGAAGCACATTTGAGGCCTAGAAGTCATATCCAGGAGTTAATGCTTAAGAGAGTGGTCTTGGAAGGGCTTTTAGCTGTTCCTAAGCACTCAGGGCTCTCTGACGTGGTGACCCTGTGCACCTGGCCCATTGTTCCTGCTCTGCTCATGCCTGTCTGCCTACTACAGTATGAATAGAAGATGAAGTGCCAGAGACCTGCCTGATCACTTTTGCTGATCAAGCTGGAGTTGTTAGTGGTCAACATGCAAGGAATATTTGTGGACACTTAGCTTTGTTCATCACAATGTGTAAATGTGGAAAGGGTTCTAAATATATTCATCCTTTTAGGAAGCTTTGTACTATAGAAGAAAATAGATGACTTTGGAGTCACACAAACATAGATTTGAATCCCAGCTGCAATGCTTAAGATCTAGCTGACCATGGATAATTTTCTTAATGTCTCTGAGCCTTGGTATCCTCACTCCCAAAAAGAGATTAACAACTGCACAAGAAACCAGGATCCTTTTATCTTCCTGCTCTACCATCTGTAGTGTGTGGCTTTCAGCCCTTAGGTTACAAGGTGGCTTCTGCATCTATAAGCTTTGCTTTTGAGTTCCAGGCAGGAAGAAGGGAGGGGAGTGAAGGCTATAAGGCATGTATCAGGTAAGTATGTTTCTTTTATAAAGTTAAATAGCTTTTGTAGATGTCACACCTAGCATATTTTTTGCTTATTAGCCTTATTAGCCGCCCTTGGTTGAAAAGAAACAACTGATATTTTTTAGGTGGGCATATTTCCATTTATATACACAGCAGAGTTCTACCGCTGCCAGTAGAAGATTGGCTACTGGATAAAAAAAGAAATCCCAGCAGTATCTGTGGAAGTAATTAATAATCCTAGATATTATGTTTACATTAACTTTTATTTCAGCTAGTCTCTTTCTTTTGTCATCATATCCGAAGCACTGGGTATATGGTGGCGTGTGTGTATCCATTCTAGTTTCTTGCCCATTTAACTAGTGCATCAGAAGTATATTCTTCCCAGGCAGATTTTATAAAAGGTTAAAATGTTTTTTAAAGAAAGAACTTTTTTACATAAGTAACTATGCCAAGAAAGTACTTTTGGGTTTTCTTTCTGCTGAATGTTACTATAATAACAATAACCATTTTTATTACAATAGTAGCTAACATTTATAAAGTATTAACTATGTGCCAGACATTGCACAAAGTGCTTTATGTTTATTATATTCCTCATAAAGTCTCTATAAGGTAGTCTCCATAATCTCTACTTTACCAGTGTGGGAAATGATGCCCAGAGAAGTTAATTTGCTTAAGGTCATACAGCTAATACACAGTGGAGCCAGTAACTGAATTTGAATCTTTCTAATTGCAAAACTCCTGCTCTTAGTCACCAGATTATACTCAGACTGCAAGATGTTTCTCACCTACTTCTGGGGAGTCTTTCCAAATTTAATTCTAAAGCTCAAAGCTTGGCCTCACAATTTGACCAACACCACAGTAATAATTGTTGTAGGTAAGAATCATTAATGGTTATAAAATCAGTGGGACAAAATTTGATAAGAAACAGAGTTATGCATATTTTCTAAGTATCACCACACAAGATATTTATTAATTATGAAGAAACTAAGCATAACTTAGAGTGGAGAAATCAAGCACATACCACCATAACCAAGTACTAAATTTTTTTTTCTTTGCTTTGCTTTTCATTGATTTTAGAGAGAGAGCAAGGGAGAAGGAGAGAGAGAATCAATTGGCCACCTCCTGCATGCTCCCCAGTAGGGTTTTAGCCCACAACCTGGACATGTACCCCAACTGGAAATTGAACCAGCGACCTCTTGGTGCATGGATCAATGCTCAACCACTGAGCCACACTGGCTAGGCTATTTCTTTTTCTTTTTAAAATGAGTTTTATCTCTTTCCTATATCTAGTTCTTTTTATTGGAAACATTTATGTTTAAACATAGATTTGTGGCCCTGGCCAGTTTGGCTCAGCGGTTAGAGCATCGGCCTGTGGTCCAGAGAGACCCGGGTTCGGTTCCCGCTAAGGGCATGTACCTCGGTTGCAGTTTGTCCCCGGCCCTGGTTGGTCGTGCGGGTGGCAGCCACTCGATGTGTCCCTTCACATCGATGTTTCTCTCTCTCTCTCTTCCTCTCTCTCCTTCCCGCTCTAGCTGAACAAAAAATGGAAAAATGTCCTCGGGTGAGGATAAACATAGATTTGTGTGGAATCTAATGAACAAAACTAAAAAACAAACAAACTCATAGACACAGATAACAGTTTGGTGATTACCAGAGAGGGAGAGGGGTGGGGAGATAAATAGTGACAGAAAGAGACTTGACTTTAAATGGTAAACACACAATACAATATACAAATGATGTATTATAGAATTGTACACTTGAAACCTATATAATTTTTTTAATTTATTGACTTTAGAGAGAGAGAGGAAGGGAGAGACAGAAATACTTATTTGTTGTTCCACTTAGTTATACATTCATTGGTTGCTTCTTTTTTTAAATGTATACTGACAAAATTTTACTTAAAATTAGAGATTTTGAAACTAAGATATTTGTTTGAGAAACATTTTAAATAGTCTCAACTCTGTGAAGACGTTAATACCTTTATCAATAGGAGAAAGAAATTTCATTCAACAACTATTTTGAGCATCTTCTTTGTGTAGGTACCAGTAATAAGTTCTGCCGATACGCAAATTAACAAGGCAGCTATAGTCTTGGGGAGCTCACAGTTAGAAACTGGGGAACACAGATAATTTTCTGAAGTAAGATGGATGATAATAAAGTTTTTATTTTTTTAAAATATAGAACACTTTACAAATTTTTGTGTTATTGTTGCACAGGGACCATACTCATTTTCTCTGTATTGTTTCAATTTTAGTGTATGTGCTGCCGAAGTGTGCTGCCGATTGATTCTCGTATGCGCCCTGACTGGGGATCAAGCCCACAACCTTGGTATATAGGGACAACTCTCTAATCACCTCAGTTACCTGGCCAGGAAAAAACCTATATAATTTTATTAACCAATGTCACCCTAATAAATTTAATAAAACATTTTGTTAAAAGCACATGACTCCTGAAATATACTGAGAAGGGCACAGTATCACTTCTGTCTATTTTTGCTCAAAATGCATAGCCTAAATTTAATCAGGAGGACCTCAGACACACCCAACTTGAAGAATATTCTACAAAATAACTGGCCAGTACTCTCCAAAAGTGTCAATGTCCTAAAGGACAAAGAAAACACTGAACAACTATCTTAGACGAAAGGAGACTGAAAAAACATGCGACTTAAATGCAACATGTAATCCTGGATTGGATCGAGCACCATGAAGAAACATGAGTGTGACAGGTAGTGAAATCTGAGTGAGATCTTTATATTAGTTAATAGTATGGCATCAAAGTTAATTTCCTGATTTTCATAATTGTAGTATCATTATGTTAAGTTGTGAACATTTGTGAAGCTAGGTGAAGGATACATGAGAACTGATTTGGGGGTTTTGGTGATTTTTTTTTCCCTCATCTTTTTTGTAAGTCTGAAATGAATTTAAAATGGAAAGTTTTAAAAAACCCTAATCTCCCCAGTTTACTTTTTAACGTTTTTTACCTATTAAAATGATGTCTGAATGAAAAGTACTGTAAGTACGTCTCTACCAGCTTTCTTGTCTGCTCTGCAGTCTGTGTTCTTTCTCTCTCTAATAAACTACCACATTCCTTTGTCCAGATGGTGTCATGCTCCATGGTGCCAGATCTGAGAGCTATTTATAGATAGCATAGACCTGTATATTATAATTTCTGGCAAATGCAAGAATGTTTTTTTAAAAATATGTTTTTATTGTTGTTGTTGTTTTTTTTTAGAGAGAGGAGATGGGAGAGAGAGATAGAAACATCAATGTGAGAGAGAGACATTGATTGGCTGCCTCCTGCATGCCCCCCACTGGGGATCGAGCCTGCAACCTGGGAATGTGCCTTGACCAGGAATCAAACTGGGACCTCTCAGTCCATGGGATGATGCTCAATCCACTGAGCCACACTGGCTGGACTGCAAGAATGTTTTTTACTAATAAAATCAATGTATGTATTATAGCACTTTATCATCATATGGAAGTAAAGTATCTTGGGAAGAACCTTCCCCCGACCCCCCCACCCCAAATCACATAAAAATACAGAATTGGCTAACAGTAGCCCTGCACTGAATCCCCTCCAAAGCCACCACCAAAGTACAACCTCTCTTCCTGTGGATTAGATCTTAGTCATAGGCCATCTCCTGACAGGAGGAATAACCCCTTTCCTTATTCAACCTTCAGCAAATAGAATGAAAACCTCTCAGATTTTAAAATGTCCTGAGGTGTCATGTCCAAGTTGTTGTGGGAAGACTACATGGCCCAGCCAATGTGTAAAGAGGAAATGCAGCAGGAGCACATGTTAGACCTCAGAGCTGGAAGATAGAGAACTGACTCTCAAACTTTTTCCCAAAGGTTCCTGAACAGCAGAGGAGAGTTACATCAGACAGGAAGGATGCTTTGCGCTGCATGTAACAGAAAACCCGGCTCAAACTAGCTTAAACAATGACTATGTTTATTAACAGGCAGTCCAGAGCTCAGAAGGGCTCCAGGCCCAATACCATAAGGGCTTCACTCTAGTTCTTTGATATTCTCTTGCTTTAGTCATCCTTTGTGTATCGCTTTGTCTCCTGATTAGGACCCTCACTGCTAATAAATGGTTTAGAGGAGAAATGGGGACACGTGTTTTTTGTTCATGTTCTACAAGAGAAAAAGAAAACCTTTTACACAAATGTGCTCCAGAAACATTTCCCCTCAGTCTGATTGGGCCCACTTAGGTCATATGCCCACTCCTCTGCCAGTGATACTCCTCAAGGGAAAGCTGTACCCAGAATGACTGAAGTATGAGTTCCGACACCATTCAGGGGCAGGGTGGTGGGATTACCATGAGTGGTTTAAAGTAAGCAACACTCGCTCCCAAAGCTGGGGATGAGGTTCAATTCCTTTGAGTCATGGACCTTCTGAAGAAAGAGTAAACACCTGAACAAAATCAGGGCTTTATCAGGGAAAGGAATGGGGACAGTGGGAAAGGATCCGTGCCCTTCTCGGTACATTCAAGGAAAGGAAGCTGAAGAAATCAATTCCTGCCTCTTGTGATTCTAAGATGTTGGTCTAACAGGATCCTCTACAAGCAGGATATTTATATATATCTATATATCTATATCTATATATCTAAATCTATATCTATATCTACATCTATATCTATATCTATATATATTTTCCATTTCCTTTTTTTTTTAAAGGGGTTATACTGCTATGGGAAATAGTATAGAGGTTCCTCAAAAAATTAAAAATAAAACCATCATATATGATCCAGTGATCACACTGCTGGGTAAATATGCAAAGGAATTGAAAACAATCTCAAAGACATATTTGCACACCCCTGTTCATAGCAGCATGATTCATGATAACCAAGGGGTAGAAGTAACCTAAATTTCCAGCAACAGATGAATGGCTAAACAAAATTGGGGCTTAAAAAAAAAAGAAAATCCTGTCACAAGCTACAACAAGAATTAACCTTGAGGACATTATGGTATATAAAATAAGACAGTCATAAAAAGACAATTATTATATGATTCTGTTTATATAAAGTATCTAAAGTAGTCAAATTCATAGAAAAAGAGAGTAGAATGGGGGTTTCCAGGGGCTGGGAGGAGGGGGGAAAGAAGAGTTGTTGTTTATTGGGTATAGAGTTTCAGATTTGTAATATAAAAATGTTCTGGAGATCTGTTTCATAACAAAGTAAATATACTTAACACTACTGAACTGTACACTTAAAAATGGTTAAGGCGGTAAGTTTTATATTATGTGTCTTTTTTTAAATCACAAAACATTTCTTTAATTTTGGGGGGAAAATGGGTTATAAAAGTCCTTTCATAAATCTATGTTTAAAAATAAATGTTTCCAATAAAAAACAGATACAGGAAAGAGATAAAACTCATTTCAAAAAGAAAAAGAGTCTGGCTGGTGTGGCTCAGTGGTTGAGCATCCACCCATGCACCAAGAGGTCTCCAGTTCAATTCCCAGTCAGGGCACAAGCCTAGGTTGTGGGCTTAATCCCCAGTGGGGGGCCTGCAGGAGGTGACCAATTGATGTTCTCTCTCATCGGTGTCTTTATCTCTTTCTTCCTCACCATTTGCCCCTCTCTCTCAAAATCAATAAAGAAAAAAAATTTTTTTTAAAGAAAAAGAAGTAGCCCAGACAGTGTGGCTCAGTGGTTGAGCATCGACCCATGCACCAAGAGGTCACCAGTTCGATTTCTAGTCAGGGCATATGCCCAAGCTGTGGGCCAAATCCCCAGTGCCAGGTGTGTAGGAGGTGGCTGATTGATGTTCTCTTTCATGGATGTTTTTATCTCTCTCTCTCCCTCCCTCTCTCTCTAAAATCAATAAAGGAAAAAAATTTTAGAGAGAGAGGAAGGAAGCGAGAAAGATAGAAACATTGATGAGAGAGAACATTGATTGGCCACCTCCTGCATGCCCCCCACTGGGGATCAGGCCCACTACCTGAGCATGTGTCCTGACCAGGAATTGAACTGTCAACCTCTTGTTGCCTGGGTCATTGCTCAACCACTGAGCCACACCAGCCCGGCTAATATATTTTTATTGATTTTTTAGGAGAGAGGAAGGGAGAGATAGAAAGATTGTTGTGAGAGAAACATCGATTAACTGCCTCCTGCACACTCCCTACTGGAGATTGAACCCACAACCGGGCATGTGCCCCAACTGGGAGTTGAACCAGGACCTCTCAGTCCATGGGACAATGCTCAATCCACTGAGCCACACTGGCCAGGCTGTACTACTTTTTAATTTTAATTTTAATTTTGAGCATATGTTTATTAAAGCCAGGGACAGTGAAACAAGGTAGGGCTTAGGATAGAAGAAGCAACAGGGGAGCCTACGTGGGGCTGCTTTGGCTCTCTAGAGACGTTATAGGAAAGAAGTGAGCCAGGGCAGGGCTGCTGTTAGCTCACAGAAAAGTCAGAGAAGAGGGGTCCTTAGCCAGGTTCAGGGAGTTAGTAGGGGATGAGTTGCTGCTGCCCATTGCTCCGCTGGTTGCAAGTCTGGGAGGGACTCTTAGAGTTTAGGAGAGCCCTGGCCGGTTTGGCTCAGCGGTTAGAGTGTCGGCCTGTGGTCCGGAGAGACCCAGGTTCGGTTCCCGCTAAGGGCACATACTTCGGTTGCAGTTTGTCCCCGGCCCTGGTTGGTCATGCGGGTGGCAGCCACTCGATGTGTCCCTTTCACGTCGATGTTTCTCTCTCTCTCTCTCTTCCTCTCTCTCCCTCCCACTCTATCTGTAAAAAAAATGGAAAAATGTCCTCGGGTGAGGATTAAAAAAAAAAAGAAGAAAAGAGTTTAGGAGAAAAAAGTAAAGATGCACGCCAGAGAGGGTACATCATGGGTGTGCTCCTGAAAGAAAAAGTGCACCTATTCTGTTTAAATGCTCTTTAATAGTGCTGTCATTCTATCTCTGGCAAGCATGGTTTTCAAAAGCATAAACCACGTGGAAATTCTGAGATTAGAATACTTTAGATTCTGTCCCGGAACACACTGTGTTTACCTAGTATAAGACTATGGAATGCTCCTCTGTAGGTGAGACAGTTCTGAGTTTGGATTGCAAACTCAATTATTAAGACTCATTCACTTGCCCCACAGTGGTCAGAGGAGCAGCTCTCAGCTGGGCCCTGCAGCTGCTGCTCTCCCCTGCCCAGGAGCACCTGCTCTGTGACAAGTGGAGGCTGACCTTCGCACGTGCTCTAGCTAGGTGTTGCTACAGCTCTGCCTCTCGCCACTGTGGGACTTTGGATCAATCAAGTAATTAATTTTTGTGGCACTTATATT